CCAAAATCTTGTTATAGCAGTCACACCATGTACTCACTTTGAACGAACCCTTACGACAGTGGTCGAGTGTACGAGAAATAATATGCTAAAGCCATATTTTTCATGATTTAGTGTGGTGAATTCTACCGGCATGGCAGATGCATATTCCAACGGGTGTGTTCATTGAGTAGAACAAGTTTTTTTACCTATCAAAATATTGAAGATATTGAACAAGCCACTTAAACATATTTATTTCATAAAAATAATTATTTTAAAAATAATTTCATATAATCTAAAAACTATTGTTACTATAATTAAATGTTTTTTAAATTATAAATTATTTAATATTCTTTGTAATCTTAAATGTTGTTTCATATACTTGACTGGAGAGTAAAACAGTTATTACACAAAGATGTTAAACGTATCAAATTTTAGTAAAAATAATATTGGATTCACACGAGAGTTTTGTTTATAATTTTAGCTAACAATTGTTTTTGCTTTCAATACGAAATTAAAATATTTGACAACTAAAATTACAAACAGAACTCTCGTATGAATCCAATATAAATTTGTAGCTCATAAATCTTGTTTAACAAATGTTTTTAGAAATACTCATAACTCATAATTTTTTCTTTCAAAGACGCAAAAAAATACTCGTAACTTACGAAAGAAAATATGTGAAGCAACAACAATGCTCTAAAAGTCTTCAGAGTTAGGTTTTACTCGTAAGCCTTAAGTTATATAGCTATACAGTCAAATTCAAAAATTAGTCTATTGTGAGTGTTCACTGGAAATACGTTGCAAAATTGCAGTCATTCGTTAAAATCATATGAACATATTTCATTTACTAATAAATTCAAATACATAACTAAATAAATTAATTTAAATTTATAAGATAAAAATGCTAACAATGGCCCTTCTAATATTCATTTTGTTTTCTTTTATTTAAATTAATTAATTAATTAATACACAATTCAATAAACAAACATGTCAAAAATAAGCATTTAACATATTTTCAAAGTGATGCCAATTTGCTTAAACCAGACTTAATGCTGTTTTTTTACAGCTCTGAAAGAAAAAATTACGGCTAATGAAAGAAAGTTAAGCATTTTAAAATAAAATAAATTTATCCATTTTTAAAAATTTTTTTGTTTTTTATATTGTTTTATATATTATATAAGTATATATATTATCAATTTTATGCATTTTCTACGTTTTCCATAATCAATGTTGTGAGAACATGTTAAAAGATGTACTTTATTACATAAATGACCCCATTTATTACAATTACAATACTTAATATTATATAAAACAATATATTGTATATAATAACTTATATTTATTACAAACGTATATAAAAAATAAAACTTGAGAGCAAAATGTAATGTGTGATCAATACAAAAATTAATATATGTTTTAACAAATTGTACGATTAATTTTTTTATATTTCTTTTTTCTAAAATATAATTTGAATACTTATTGCAAAATTAATATTTTTATACAACTTTTATTTTGTATTTTATAGTCAAGTTGGCATATTGCAAAATTTTGTTAATGTATTTACAGTACATATGTGAGTGGTGGTGAAAAATCATCGTTCTATATTTTCCCCACATGGTATTCACGCTGAACGTACTTATCCTCACTCACCTTTCCTATTTATGTAACAAAAGAGAATAATGTTGATTGGACACCCGTTACTAGTATTTCAAGTTTTAAGTCAATTTAAAATTTATGACGAGTATATAGAGATCCAATGTGTTTACAATAACAATAAAATTAGCTTTATATGTTGACTGACAGATGTTTGTATTCTAGGAATTGTCTTCTGAATTTATTTAAAGCAAAAGAACCGGAATTTATAAGGGTAAAAATAATATATAAGAATATATTGCAATTTAAAATATGAAGAAGAATTTGATGAGTTTTTTATAAGGGTATGATGTTCGTCTCCAAATCTGAGATAGTTAACTTTTTATATAAAAGGTTTATTGCACAGTCTAAAAATGCTGTGTTTTTTTGTTTTTTCATTTAAAAAAAAATGTTCTTAAGACTTTTGAAATTAAAAACGTTTTTAATATTGAAGCGGAAAGTTTGAAAAATGTGTCTTTATATATGCAATAGGATATTAACGCCTTAAAAAAAAATTTATTAAAATTACTTATTATATGGTTAATATGGTAGTAAATATTATGTTTGCTGATTACTGATAAAACTGTTGTTTAAATTGTACAGAGAAAATAATTGAAATGATGGTATATTATTTACAACAACAGTGGTAAGACGTAAGTTCAAGTAGTGCAAAACTAAACAGTAACGCTTTCATTTTTTTTTTGTTTTTTGTTATTATTCATCTTTTAAATTTAGATACACAACATATTCCCGTGTACTGTTAGTGCTATAATGTAGTTGGTGTTATTTTAAATTATTTATTAAATAATTATTATTCGGTCTCCTCTCAAAAGTTATTATTACTTTCGTGTAGAGGGCTTGTCTAAACACTTGTCTTTTTTTACCGTAATATCGTTTCATTACTTCAGGTCAACTCTTTTGGCACTTTAAGCAAAGACATCTATTGATTAAAGAGATGAATGTAATGAGATGTTATTACCTTTAAAGGTAAATTCGAGATTTAACTTTGTTGATATAAATAGTAGGTAAGGGTAACGTTAAGGGTAACTTAACAATAATTATTGAACAGTTCATTAGTTCCTTTGCATGATTCAAAGCAGATAAAAATAATAATGTGTTATTTCTTAAAAAGTCGAAAAATTCAAGAATTTCGTTAACTCAGAGAGAAATGAGACCGCGATTGTCCCATCTAAAATGGAGTCTCAAATGTTTTTTTTTTTTGTGGGAAAGAGAAACGGATTTATCTTTGCTTGTTTGACATGGTTTGGCAAGACGTTAAACTGTCATCATTATTGGACATAGCTTTTGTCATTGCTTTTCTTTGCAATTTTATAACAAACCTTTAGACTAGAACCATAATTTAAAAACTTGATTCTCAGTCTCAGTCTGGTTTTTAAGAGAATTTGTGTTTTAATGTAGTTAAAGATTTGTGATCAAAAACTGAGACAAGAACTATTAGAATGTCTTGAAGACAGTTCCAAAAAACCTGAATATTTCAGATGACATCAAATATTAATTTAAAAACCGACACTTAATAGAATTGTATAGTTGAAAAGTTGATAGAATTGAAAATTTCAAAAGTTTTTCATACAAATAAGAAATATCCTATTTCATGATGTTAATTAAAATTAAACTAAGTGGAGGATTTGAGGCAGAAATATGATTGATATGATATAGAAAAATAACATGAAAATCTTTAAAACTAAACTATGTGATCGATAAAGACGGATGGAATATAGTTTTTGTGTTTTCGGTAACACCCTTAACTGAATCAAGATGAAAGTTTGAGTTTCGATAATTTAACAATTATTTATATTTGAATTAATGAATAATGAATGGAAGTTTCTAAGTTTAAGGTGTGTATTTTAATCATTGTAGCCGATCAAATTATTTTTATGAGACCTTGATAAATTAAACTTTAATCTAAGCTAGTGATAGAAATAATCGAATCATTGAAGCGAAACATTTCAAAAAGGAGTGCCGTCGACAGGCTTGTAATCAACTTGTCTGCAATAATATCCGAAATTTACTTCAGAGGAGCTTTTTCGGATAAAAGCTGGATCGACTATAGTATATATATTTACCATTCAGTTATATAATGATTCAATAATAATGAACAAAGATATGTATCCATGTAGTCATTCGATTAATTTCGTTGAGAAGAGGAGTTATAGCTCATTAAGCCTTTAACATTTATTTGCTTAGCTATCCCGTCAATTTTCTAGAAGTAATAACAAACTATGGATGAATGGTACTTATTGCTATACATTAGCCAATTTAATTGCGATAATTTAATTCACGTGTTAAAGATGTATGAAATTTATTGCTCCATAATTAGACACGTACCCAGACTAGTGATTTGAGATGTTGAAGGTATCTTATAATTAAACCGATTAAATGTATTTGCACAGATACATCTATAATAAAATATGATGTGCAAAACCGAGAAGATTGAGGTTTTAAAATCATCAAAATACAATGGTTATTATTTTCGGGCAGTTTAATACTGTTTTATGATTATAACTACCAATTAAAATAGAATAAAAGTTCAGTCATAAAATAAAGTTTGCTATGATTGATTAATTGTAGTTGTTATATTTGCATTTCATTGTAATATTTCCGTGGAATCAGATAAAAATGATCAATCTTATGTAGAAAAAAATTAAAGATTACTTCCAAAATTTGTTGGTTTTCAACGTATAACCCCTCAAGGTAGTCCATAATTCCATATTAATCCATAATTATGTACCTATCCATAATATTATAGCAGACTCAAGTTTGTGATGAGCAATTAAATAAGTAATATCATGTTTCCATTGCAGCTAAAACTATGTATGTGATGAAATTAAGATTGCGTCGTTTCCATTGACAAAAGCTGAGTTATGCATGTGAACTAGCTTGTTTGTTTACATTTAACATATAAAACACATGACAAATATTTCAATTTTTGGTCATTTTGCTTGTGGGAAATTTTTTTAAAGGTTGCAATCGATATTTCTTGCCTTAAATCAGTTGATTAATTTATAATGAGCTTATTTCAATGAGCTCATTTCTAACGACCTTAATGAGCAAAAAAATTATATGAGACAAGTGGAAACATAAGTATATAAATACTATAAGTATACTCAACCAATAAAAATTATTCATTTTACTTCATTTATTCCAAAAAATATAAATTGAAAAAGTCTTTAAATTTTGTTCAAGAACTTTATTTAGCTTAAAGAAAAACATTCTTTAAAAAAGAAATTGAAGACCCTCAAGCCCTAATAAAATCGCCACCACTGCATTGACTAAAGTTCACCACCTAACTAGCAGAGTCCATACATATACAAAAGCCACTCACACAGATACTGCTGCTCATTACAAATTTAGTTTTGTTAGCAAGTTCGAAGAGACGGGAGTGCCTTCGACGATTTGTTTTTAAAATGTTTTGAAAAATAAACGCCCCAAATACAACAAAATGATGTAAACGGGGTATTATTTTCAATAAAAGCGAATGGACTCCTCGAATTCGTAGGAAACTTTTGAAGAAATTGTGAAAAGTTTTTAGTACGTATTGTGTCGGTATCGTCCCAAAATTGCATAACAGTGCAAATAAGAGATTCTACCACGGTCAATACGTGAGCAGCAGCAGTATTCCGTCCATTGGCAGCGTGTGTTTCTGTGTGTGTGTGAGAGAGAGATTAAGAGCGCGTGAGCAAGAGAGAATAAAAAATTGACGACGTCGACAATGATTTGATTTGGTTTACAATTCGTTAACATAAAAAACTTGTTAATTGAAAGAGTACCAAACAGAAAATAAAGAGCAGTGGAGTTGTGTTGCTGCGAGTTAATAAAAAATAGTAGTAATTACACAATATTCAAAAATGGTATTAACCTTGTAATAAAAACGTTCAATTGTTTTATATAATATTTTTTAAACCATATAAGAAATAATTATAATTGCTTATGATTTCATAAAATTAATTTTAATAGTTTTGTTGCTTATTAAATGTGGAAAAAAACACTAAAACAAAAAATAATATTAACAATCAATAACATATTTTTAATATACAAATTCGGAAGAATCGATTTGAATATTTCAGAATTAAATTAAATTAATTAAAAAAGTATTAAGTAGTATGCAATTTTTTTAAAAACAATCTTTTTACTTTTTACTAATTTCTTTCACTGAATTGTATGTAAACGTGGCTCCTTAACTTTAAAAATCATTTCAAAAGCACTGAGTAAATATTCAATTATTATTTAAAAGCATTTATAAACATTTAAATATTGAAGCCACTTTCATTTGATTGTCGTGTTGGTTACTTAATTTTTATGAACTAAAAATATACTTGATTTTGCATATATATGTATTTTTATTTTGAAATACAAATATACTTAATTTTTTGTATATATAATATTTTTATTTTGAAACACATTTCTTTATTTCCAATATATTCAATAGTCAGCTTCAGAGAATTGACATTGAAAACCTTATACCTTAACGTATAGTATACTAAATTAAAAAAAATACTTGAATCCGTTGTACTGTAACATATGTTAAGAACACAAACAGTACGAGACAAGGATTAAAAATACTATAGTGATATTTTATTACATTGCTTGTTAGAAATTTATAAAACATTAAACTTTTTTACGTTCTTCCAAAAAAACCAAGTCTCATACTGATTGTATTTTCTTCAGTAAAAAAAAAAACAAATAATGATCTTACATTCCCATTTGTTCTTGGTATTATAGTTAAGTTTTTGAGTATTTATAGATAATTCAAGTACACCTTGTAATTTCTTTGTAAGTGCCTTATATAGTTATAAGCAGTGTACATTAAAAAATCATAAGCACTTCTCATTAAAAAATCAAATAACACATACGATACAAAAGCTATTCAAAACCAATATAAGCTATTATGAGCAAGTTTTCTCCTATGTTATTTGCCGATAAGGCTTATTTTTCATCAGTCTTTAAAGATGCAAATTTTTGCATTGATAACACATAAAAAAGCAGGCGCTTAATTTAGCAGCAGCCAATATTTGAAATATTTATATTGATTACTGGAACGAAGCCAAAAGCCAGTTGTCAAAACGATTTCTACTTTACTTACTTAGGTCATTACAAATTTAAGTCATTTAGTTGTTTCGGCATACCCGATCAGCCTACCGGGTATCATCTAACCCTATATCGCGTAGTCCTTTCATCAAAGAAGCGGACATGTTCTACCCCGTTTTCACTCGAATGCTCGTAACGCTTCTCATCATTGTTGGTTACTGTTCAAGCTTCACCACACAACAAACGGACATGATAGGAGACTTGTAGAGCGTGATGTTTTATTTATCGCTTGTCAAAAAAGTTTTATATTTCTTAATTGTCTACTTATCTCGTTTAACATATGTTAAGTGATTCTTCATTGAATCTCTAGGGTGACATCATTTTAATTGTTTATGCTTGTTCCCAAATATGCAAAGTATTTCACAATTTTAAACTTATAGATGGCAACAGTGACGTGGGTCCCAAGACGCTCAGGAAACTTGTTTTTTTTTATAGAAAATACCTTGTGTTTTCCTCATTTATCATAACATCCATTTACTTCGCTTATTTTTCTGAGTTCGAAAAAGCCGCAATGAAGGCGTGGGTATTCAAACCGAAGAAATCAAAGATTTCTCCCATTGTTTATTTTGAAATAGTTTGATATATTGTTCTTGTTATAAAACATTTATAATAGTCATATTAAAACTATAAACAATATAAACAATTCGTGTATAATATTTATATTTATATTTATATTATATTTATAATAATATATAAAGACCCGTTGTGATACAATGGAAAGTGAAATTACTACTTTTTGTTCTTGAGAATAAGAATCTTACAAAATAAGTTGTGAAGTAAAATATATTTTCACATTTTATTCCATTTTTATTTAAAGTAAAATAACGTTATATTTACAATAAAATCTTATATATTTAATATATATATTCACAATATATGTTATTTACATTTCATCAGTTATATATTCTTGTTTGGTTAACAACTTAATAGAAATTTCTGTTAACTTATATTGTAAAATGTGTCACAATGTACTACTAAGTTCTGCTAGTTTCTTCTAAAATACTCATAATATAAAATTTATATATAAATTATAATTTAATTTGATCGTCAACACATATATTTCTTAATTTTAATATGTTTTCTGTTAGATATAATATAAATTTGTAATAAAATCAGTTATATATGAATTCATATATACAAATAATAATATTTTAATATTTAAATTCCATTCTCAAAAGTAAAAAAATAAAATTGGTTATATTTTAATTATATACATGTGTATTATATATATGTAATTTTAGTTTTAATCAGTTTTGTGAGAAAATCTGACATATAAAATATTAGTTAATATAAATATTTTAATATTTAAATTTTAGTCATATTATTAAAAATTAAACTTATTTATATTTTTATTATATATATGTGTTCTTTTTTTTATTTTCTGTTCTAATTAATTTTATAATAAAATCATCTAAATAACATTAAATATATTTTAATATAAATATTTTAATATTTAAATCTTATTCACATAATTAAAAACTTAAGCTTTATTATATTTTTATTATACATATGTGTATTTCTTTAATTTCAGTTTTATTCAATTCTATAAGATAATAAACATCACCATACACATCACTCTAAGTGCAAATACCCACCGACCTATCGAATGTTTTTACCTACGCAATACCAAACAAATTTAAATTAAAAATGACTCGCTGAATTCATCATCCAATAATCAATTCCAAACAAAAACCAATCGCACAGTAAATTTAACATTTCAAACCAGTTAATGCAGTATAAATTGTACAAATTTGTGTAATAACACAATCCAAAATTTTAAAACATTTATCCGAAGCACGAAGCTGACAACACTGACAATAGAAGAGTAAATTCAAAACCATAAACAAAACATTAAGAGTAAAACATACAACATTTGTGTTTGCGCTCAAATTACAAAAGTAAAAAAATTATATCAAAACAAATCCAATAAGCAGTACTACTGTGCGTATGGTAAGCATAAGTTGAAAGAGGACACAACGAATAATTGGTTTATGTGTGTTGGTTGCTGTCGTTTGAAATTGGGGAGAATAGCATATCTTCAAAGTCTATTGCCTATTGAAGAGCAAACCAGCTGCGATTCCGCAGTCATACGTCGAAGGACATGGCCGTATTTTTAATAAACATCTGTAAATTTAATGGCTGCGGAATCACATTTCCAAGTTTAGGAGATTTAATACAACATATTGAGGATACTCATATTGGTGAGTTTAAAATCCTAACAAAAATAATTAAAAACTAAATTAAAAATATAAAAATAATTCTAAATAAATAAATTAAAAAAAAAACAAAACAAGTTACGGCTCAAATGTCGCGTGATTTCTTAAACAAACGGAGCGGAGCGTTTATTTATTGTTTAGTTTACGCCACTGTGAAGCGTAATTAAAGTGCATGTACGTGTTTGTTGGTGTGTGCGTGTTCATGTGTAAATAAAATAGTTTATTAAATTTAAGAAGAGGGTTGTAAGGTAAAGAGAAGTGGCATATCTTACCTGCTGCGTCAACGTCAGCTGTGCCAAGTACATATGTATATATATACGCTTGGAGCATTTTCAGTGAAATATAATCAATATATGCTGGCTTATATTTTGCTTGTGGATATTAAATTATTCTCACCTAAATTCGTATTCTCACCAAAATAAGGAGATTTTCTATTTTGTTTTTGTTTAATAATAATAACACAGTGACTTTATTTAAAATTTATTATTTATTTTTTTAAATGAAGAAAAAGTTTTGTTTACATTCAGAAATGCTTTAAAATAAAAATTTTAATTTTCTGAACATTAATTTATTTATTAATTTCTGAAAATAAATTAAATTATAAACAATGTGTTTCGTAAAAAAGCTTCGTGATATGCCATATGTTAAAAAATTAAACAAAAAAAACAATTTAATGTGATTTTGATAATTAAGTATTATTTTACACTAAATTAATAGAAAACTTCAGACCAGAAGTGTTCAGAAAGTAAATTGACAATTTAACCACGAAACGTCGAGTGCTGCCACGTACTTTGCCCGTATAAATTGTCTTTAATTAAAGAATTACAAAATTATCAAAATTAATTCAAAAAAGTAAATAATTAGAGAGCTTCAAAATACAAATAATTACAAATATTATTACAAATAATAATTTTTAATAATTATTATTTTGTCCATAATGTTTCAATATCTCAATAGAGAAATTTGATCCAAAATATTTATCATCATCATCAGCGTTACAGTTCGGGATGAGCTTTAGCTGCATCAACCAGCTTCCTCCATTCTGCTTTGCATGTTGTTTTAGACCTCCAATTTTGGATACCTATTTTTCCGATATCGTCGATCACGTTGTCTAGCCATCTAATATATGGTCTACATCTGCTGATGTCGTTGTACGGCATGAAATGGAGTATTCGCTTTTGTGGTCTATCTTACGGTATTCTCATGATGTGCCCGAATAATAATTATAATCAAAATAAATATAAATTTAAAATTAATATATAAAAAATTATTTATTAAAAATTGGTTAATAGATAAAAAATTGGAAATTAGATTTATAGACAATTGAAAATAGATAAAATTCTATTGTAATAATCTTTTGTGTAAAATACCATTCAGTTTTGCTTTTTTTTGATTATTATAACGAGGTACCATCCAACAAGTGGTGCTCGGTATTTTAATCGAAACCTGCTATCTCGTTAGAACTCTTTAAAAACCCTATTCAAAGAAAATTAATAAAAAAGTTTCCAATTTTATTTTTCAAAGTAATAAAATCATTTCACTTCATTCACGCAAGCAGTCAATGTTTAATATATACACATTCTATAGTGCAATAAACAAAAATTAAACTGACACCTAACAGCACCAAAAACACGAAAATAAAAGAAAGAAACTAAGCGCAAAAAATAACCAAATTAGCGAATAAAGAAACCGTTATGGTCGAAAATTTCTGAAGAAAGTTTCTATTTTTCATATTCAATATTAAAGAAACTTTAACAGTATATTAAACTGTTAGATACATTTATATTTCTTCAATATTTTTATATTTTAGATGTTTTTATATGTTCCATCCACTCTCAATGTTTATTTAAGGTTAGCCCATGAAGCACCCATTGAAGACCTTATAAAACAATATATAAATTCTTGATCTGTCTCAAAATGAATTCCTTTAGTCATCTTCGTTTGATTGTTCTTACAATGTGATTTTTTATTATATATAAAACAATTTAGTAACGACAAGCAACGCAAAAGTTAAGCTATAGTAGCAGATATCAGTACATTACTGTATTGGCATTCTATTGTTATTCTTCGAGTCACGGTTGGTATACCAATGCACTAATAACCTTATGAACTCCACTATAATGTAATGGGAGCAATATTGTTGTTCTATCTTTTTAAAGACTATCTAATCCACTCCCATTTATGATTTGGTTCTACAAAATCTCTATATTACTTTATTGACTTTCTATTATCGAAGTCTATCTACAAATGTATCTTTTTAAATTCTATCTAATCCAGTTCTATATATGATTTGGTTTCACAAAATCTCTACATTTCTTTATTGAATTTCTATTATCGAAGTCTATCTAGAAGTCTTGACTGTTGAACTAAGACAATATTGTTGTTCAATATTCTAAGATTATATTTGATCTAATTATATTTGGCTTTTTATTGCATATTCTCTCAGGCCAGGATTCAGCGTATACATTGGTTTATGAAGTTTGCATATTTAAATGGATTGTAGCGGTATTCTTTCCCACATCTATTCAGTAAAATATAATTTTGATGTTTATAGCTATATGTCTAGAATTCTAGTTCATTTTAAGAAGTATTGAACTACCGTCTAAGGTACTGATTCTAGAAATAGCATATTTGTCTGTTCCGTTTGTATCTATAATTATGCTTACGAGAGATATCTTATTGATTTCATACATTTGTACACATACTTCTTGTAAAATTTAAACTTTTTATTCCTGAGTCATTTTTTTAAATATTTCAATATATAAATAAGCATAATACATAATTAAAAATAAAAAAAAAATTTTTTTTTGAATAAATAGATACAAACTAATATCTCTATAAATAGTTACTATAAATAACTTTGTCCCATAAATAGTGACAAATATCTATAATAAATCAAACGTTTTTGTTTCGTTAATAATAAAAATTATATATATATTTTTTATTGATTAAATACGTATTTTAATATTAATTGCGCCGTATCTACATAAATACATATATATCTATATATATTTATTTGATAAAAAGAAACTCGCGGCTCCAACAATAAAATGGATAAAAATTTTATTGCTTGCATTTGTAATTAATTCAGCCGGCAAAATTCGCCTCAAAAATATTCCACAGTGAATTTATAAACAAAAGTCTTGTGGAAAAACAAAAAAAAAAAATAATAATAATAATATTCACGTATCTTAAAAAGCAAACAATATGGAAATAGAGTCGTCGTTGCATAAAACATTAAACAGAGAGCGAGCAACATTGAGCAACTTTATTACGTTTCTTTTGTTTTGTTTTTGTTTTTTGTATTTCATTAGATTCGAATATTAAAAACGCCGGGAGTTCTCACTATAAACAAAAACAAACTATCGATTTGTACTCATATTTCGCCTAAACAGTTTCCAAATGCATACTCCCTTCGCGCCTTTTGTTTATGTTTATTGCGTGTGGTGAATAAAGTTGAATTCACCATGTGTTGTTGGCCATGGCATACTAGTAGTGCTGCTATTTTGTTGTTTATTCGCTGCTGTTGCAACGCATCTCTAGTTCCACACAAATTTTTTGTATTAACGTAATGTACAATATATGTACAGATGCTTATATATACATATATATATAAATATATATTGTGTATGTATGTATATGTAAACATGTTTGGATATAATATTGCAGGTGCGTAAAGTGGTGTTCTTATATAACAGCAAAACAAATAAACTTATGTTAGAGCCAATTATCTATGTACTCGTATATAATACAGTAATTAGCTTGAGGAAATAATTAACATAAATATATACATAAATCTTTAAAAAAGCAGTTTAATATATATGTACTTAATTAATAGCAAATATATAATTGCGGATTAAGATAAATGCTGCACATTTAAAATATAATATAAATATAAATAAATGATATATAAATAATATATCTTATCAAAATGCATTATCAGATAATGCATACATACATGTATAAAAACAACTAAATAAAAATTATTAAATTCTATTATTTTTTTTTATATTTCTCATATACCACCAATAATGAAACTCAAGACTTATACAATTTAATTATAATGAGATACGAGTCATTCTTCTTACTATAGCCTCAAAGACCTCTGTTTTGTATTTGAAGGTATTCTGACAAATATTTCCTATATACTTCTCTGTACATATACAGACCTGGAATATTCACTTTAACTGTGATTATTAACATCTAATATATAATATATAAATTACCTTAATGTGATCCCAAAGACCTAAGTGAGCACAAATAGTTCTGTTGGGTCTACAACAAATATGCTGACAGGCTTCGCAGTCTAAATATGTCTAAACTCAAATTAATCACTTGTTTCTTAATTGGACATATTTATGTTAATTAAGAGTTTTAAGGATGGTTCTAAAAACCCTGATATCTGGAGATTTTGTGAATTTCAGAGTAAAGAATTAATATAACAAGATACTGACAACTGTAGATTCTGTGCAATACAGAGTAATACCAACGTATCTATTTACTTTACCACTACTACCATCTGAATTTTATTAAAATGAGTGGTATACAGTCTTAAATCAGTGAACAATGTTAGTGTTATTTATACCAAAAATTTGTCCATGTTAGCTAAGAATATTTTTACCAGGGGTAGTGCAAGATCTCAAGGGTTGCGGTTTATCATTGTCTGTGCCAATAATAAAGATTCAACTTTCAAATTTTCTCCTATTCAATGATGGGCACTGACAAATGAGGTAGAGTATAGCTTCCTTCTCATCCGCAAAGCCACTTAGTCTCATAGCATGTCTTCATAGTATGAGCGGTAGTGTTGGGGCTGTTCCGCTTTAGTTAAAGCAGCTACCTGTTACGCTTCTTATCCAGTTTTGAACAGGTTAATTTTGAGATTTGACAGTTGAAGTGAATCTATAATGCCCTGGTTCCCACTGATGCCAAACACTTATTTTTACAATGCTAGTTATTTTGTAAAATTCTTTTGAAAAAAGCTCCAT